AGAAGGAAGCCCCAGGAAATAAATAGCGATGCAGAGCTTTGGATTATGATTGCCCCCTCCTAGCAGTATGGGAGCTTGAACCCAGTGCCTTCGTACTGATCTGCACCCCCAGACCTTTTCTATTTGTATTTTGAGACAGGGTCTCCCTAAGTTGCTACGTTGGCCAGGCTAGGTTCGAACTTGCAATCCTGCCACAGCCTCCCAGAGTGCAGGGATTACAGGCGTGTGCCACCGCGCCTGTCTATCAGTGACCATTCCTGCCTTCCCTCCTCCCCCAGGAAGCTTTGGGGCCCTGCGTGAAAACCTCAGGCTAGCTCTGCCTGTCCTGCGGGAACTGGCTTTGCCGCCTGCTGCAGTGAGCAGCTCTGCGGAGTTAAGGGGTGGCTGAGCTCACGCCTGGCCCCGGGGAGCCCTCCGTAAACAGCAGGGCAGGCGACTGCATGACGGCTTCACAGGGGGGCCGCCCCGAAGACTGGTCCCAGGCCCGGGTGGGGCGCAGATGAAAGAGCAAGATGACACAAGCGGCCTTGTGCGACTCTTCCTGCCTGTCCTGCACACTGGAGAGGCCACTTTGAAGAGGGAAGGATGTGCTTCTGGCCTTCAGGCCCAGCTCCCGGGGTGGGGACACCCTGATGTGGTCACTTCATAGTCCTGCAGGCTTCAGTAGATGGCAGCAGCGATGCCTCTGGCAGGATCCTGGGAGGCAGCCTTTCCTGGGCTCCTGGGAGTGGAGGTGCGGCTGGGGCCCGAGTCCTTTCTTTCCTGCTCTTGTGGCCTCAGCGATGCCCTCCGCCTCCTTTGTGGTCCTGAGGGTCAAACCCAGGGTCTTTTCACTGAGCTGCATCTCCATCTCCAGCTTTTTCTTCTCTGTCCCTTCCTTTCTTTTTTTTGGTACCGGGGATCGAACTCGGATACTTGTGCTTGCAAGGCAGGCGGCGGAACCACTGAGCTAAATGCCCGGCCCTGTCCCTTCCTTTCTTTCTCTCCCCCCGACCCCCAGGTTTCCCAGGTCAGAACCCTGAGGAGAGTTGAGGTGACTCTGTCCGTTCAGGGAGCTCTGTGTGGTTGTCGCCTCTGTGCTGTGGCACGGGCACAGTCTCTAGGCCAGGTGGCTGGGAAGTGGCTCCTTGGGCTCCCTCTGGCTGAGGACAAATCCCTGCCTGCTCCCTGACCTTCTCTGCCCTCAGGCCCCTCTCCACGCCCAGGCCTTCAGCTGCTCTTCCCTCCCACTCAGCCCTGCTGTACCCCGGCAGTCCCTGTCTCCATTGCACGGCCCGAGTGGCTCCGTCTCTGCTGTGTGTGTGCCGGGCAGAGGCAGAAGACAGCCCCCAAATCCTGGCAGAGCGAGGACCTGGGTTGTCATTTAACTGGGCTGCCCTTTTTTGTTTCACCAGGGATGAACCCTGGGCCTTGTGCATGCTAGCAAGTGCTCTGTCACGGAGCCGCACTGCGACCCCTTCTAACGCTGCATGGCTCCTGCCAGGTGTTCCTGCTCCTGACCTCCCCCTCCCTTTCCTCTTTCTCTTCCTCTTCTGTTGTTTGTTTTTTTGAGACAAGGTCTTGCTAAGCAGCTCAGGTTGGCCTTGAACTCACTGTGTAGCCCACACTGGCCTTGAACTCCCCTGATCCTCCTGCCTCAACTTCCTGAGTGCTGAGATGAGAGGTGTGCGCCACCACGCAGGGCCGGAGTGTTTCTCTGGCACACTCGGTTACCAAGCTGCACTTTGTCCACTGTGTGGCCAGGTGAGCTGCTGTGACTTCTCTCTTGTGAGTTGGGAGAGGTGACTGCGTGGAAGGCCTGGAGAGTTCCACGCCACAGAAGCCTTTGTTCTGTAATTTGGTCGCCCTGTAACGAGCCCTTCTGTCCCTGCCTGTTGCTCAGCGGTCAGTTGCTTCACTTCCCAGGCCCAGCATGGTCAGTTACTCTGAGTCCTGTGTCTGTCACATCCATGCCCAGGACCCGGGGCTGGGTCATCTGGGGTTCCAGGGGCGAGTCCCCTGGCCCTCAGCCTCTGTCCTGGCGTGGGGTCCAGGCTCCTCTGACCAGGCCGACCTCCCTGGGAGCAGGGCCCAGCGCCGTGGAGCAGGAGTGTGGCCCCTTTCCCTGGAACTGAGGACTCCGTCCTGCCCCAGGCCCCCAGCAGTGCCGATGGGCTCTACTTTCAAGCCTGTGCTTGAGAAGTTGCTGGGGGCTCTCTGTCATAGGACCATGCATTTGGGGTTTTTTGGTTTTTTTGGTACTGGGGATTGAACTCAGGTCCTTGCACTTGCACAGCAGGCAGCAAAACCACTGAGTTAAATCCCCGGCCCATGTGCAATACACAGTGAGACTTCATCAAAAGAAAGAAAAGGGGGTGCTGGGACTACAGGCGCGTGCCACACGTCTGGCTGTGCCTCCCTTGGTCCGTGTGCCAGTGTGGTGTGAGCACTCTGCACGTGTGTGTGCCTGAGGCCCTGTTCCCGGTTCTTTGGGGTCAGTACCCGGAAGTGGGGTTGCTGCTTCCGGTGCTTAGCCCCTGGGACTCTGTTTTATCCCTGGACATCAGAACCAGCTTGCTGAGATCTTCCAGATTCTGCTCCAACAGATGTGCCCCAGCAGATGTGATTGCCTGCACCCCTTCTGGGTCTCCCAGTTCGTGCAGTGTCTGCCCTCAACTCCCCGCAGGGCCTCAGGGAGGGTGTGCTCACTGGAACAATGGCATTGGCTGGGCCAAGGTTCCTGGTAGACCAGCTTTGGGAACCCAGTGGACACATGGCCCAGTGTCCCGCCGGGGAGGACACCCAAGAGAAGTGACACACGGTCTCTATGTGTGACCTCTGGGCCAGGGGCCCGTGTTCCCTGGGCCTGGATGCTGCCCAGAGCGAGCCTGTTTGCCTACCATGCACTAGGCTGTGGGTTCGAGCCCCAGCACCACCAAAACAAAGCAAAAACTTGTCCACCAATGTTCAGAGCAGTGCTGTTCACAACAGCCAAAAGGCTCCCTCACCCAAAGAATGCATGAGTGCGTGTGAGAGAGTAGCATTTTGGCAGCAGACAGGAGTAAAGTAGATTGATATATGTTGCCATAAATGAGTAAACCCTGAAAACATGCTCAGTGAGGTTAGCCAGGCAGCAAAACTCTGCGCTGTAAGAATCCATTTCTTGGAAATGTTTAGAACAGGCAAATCCAAGCAGATGGAAAGATAGGGGAGGGGGAGTGGCTGCTAATGGGTGTGGATTTCTTTTTAGGGTGACAGAGAGCTCCTGAAATTAGGTAGCATTGATGGTTGTGCAGCCTTGTGAATGTAGTAGGAACCACTAAACAGTACAATTTAAAGGAGTGGATTATATATATGTAAATTATATCTTAAAGCTTTTGTTTATTTTTATTTATTTGTTGATTTATTTACAGATTGAACCCAGGGCCTTGGCACTGAGCTACATTCTCGACTTTTTATTTATTTGTTTTTAAACTTTGAGACAGAATCTTGCTAAATTACCCAGGCTGGGCTCAATCTTGCAATCCTGCTGCCTCAGCCTCCCAGAGCGCAGGGATTACAGGTGTGTGCCTGTACCATGCCCAGCAAAAGCTTTTATTTTTTCAAAGTAAAAAAATTGGTAGATGAGGTCCATCACTAAATCATTGTAAGTAAATGGAAATCATTGCTTCCCTTTCTAAGCATTCATGAGCCACCCTGTGAGGCTCCCAGATCCCGGGCTGGTCCAAAGTGACTTGTCTGTCCACTCTGCCCACTTCCAGGTGACCCAGGGGCACCTTTCTCATTTCCGGGTATGGGTGCCTGTCGCCAGGGTTCCTCAGGTCCATCAGGAGCTGTGCAGGGTATCACCTTGTGGTATAAACCTCGCAGCCAGCACTGTGCCCATGGCCACGGAGAGGCTGAGGGAGAGGTGCCCAGAAGAGGGGTGGAAATGCTGGGGCCAGCGAAGGGCAGACAAAGGTGCTGTTGAAGCAGAGGACCAAGTGGGCAGCTCTGAGCTCTGGGGAACCGGAGCGGCCCAAGTCTGCTGGGCTACACCGGGTGTCCAGCGTCCTTGCACCCTCTCTGCAGCCAGACCCTGGGCCTAAATACCAAAGCCCACAGGCTCAGGTCTCCAGCTGTCCGCGGGCCATGTGTCTTGACGGGTGGCCCTGGGCGTCTCTACTGGTAGGTTTTTGTTATGAGAGAGGTGGATGGATCGTGAAGAAAGCAGATTGGCTCATTTAAATTTTAAAAATGTGGCAAGATATGCGTAACAAAGCCAGGCACGAGGGCACCAGCCTGTAATCCCAGCACTCAGGAGGCTGAGGCAGGAGGATCCCTATGAGTCTGAGGCCAGTGGGGACTATATAGCAGGACCTTGTCTCACAAAAAAGAAGTTAATAAAGATACGCTTGACAAATTTCAGCCACTCCACCCATTCAAATGTACAGCCGCCTGGCATTCAGTGCCCAGTGTTATGCCAGCACTGTCGCCACCCACCTGCACACCCTTCCCTCATCCCAGCTGAACTCTACCGTCGGGCACCGGCTCTGTGCCTCTCCGCCACTCTGTCCCTGTGAGTGTGACTGCTCCGGGTTCCTCGTGCCCATGAGCCTTGCAGAATGCGTCCTTAGCAACTGATTTACTTCACTTGATGGAGGTATAATGACCTTGCAGTCAACCACGTTGTGTTTGGTGTCAGAATTTCCTCCTCTTTAATGGAGGATATTATTCCATTGTGTGGACATGCGCATGGACCCTGTTTGTGGACTCCAGTTGTTCTCATTTTTTTGTTATTGTTGTTTGTTTGAGCCGGGGTCTCTGTATATCATTCAGGCTGGCCTTGAATTCACTATGTACCTCAGGCTGGCCCCAAACTCACAGAGATCCTCCTGCTTCAGCCTCCCAAGTCCTGGGATTGCAAACCTGCGGCACCACTGCCACCTTGAGTCATTTTTTATAAATGAGGCCAAAGAAATTGCAGTCTGGGAGACTAGCGGGTGTCTCTTCATCCTGCTTGTCCCTTCTTTCCGCTGCAGATACGATGCTGGGCGTGATGGCTTCATCGACCTCATGGAGCTGAAGCTGATGATGGAGAAGCTGGGGGCCCCCCAGACCCACCTGGGCCTGAAGAGCATGATCAAGGAGGTGGACGAGGACTTCGATGGCAAGCTCAGCTTCCGGGAGGTACCGAGTCCTGCTGGCCTGGGAGAGCCTGGGGCTGCACAGGGGTGGCCTCTTGAGAGTACTGGTTGGATATTTAACCTGCAGTTCTGCTCTAGAAATGGCCTTGGGCCTGGATGTAGCTCAGTTGGTAGAGCAAGTGCTCAGCATGCCCAAGGCCCTGGTTCAATCCCAGCAGTTGCCCCCTCCCCCTTATATGGACATCGAACTGCTGCATGGGCCAGGGAAGTGCCCAGGAAGCAGCCTGAAAACCACCACCGGTAGCAGAACTTCATTTGGGGAAAACAGTGAGAAATCTAGAGAGATGTTCACCAAAATATTCCTAGTGGATATTCCTGGGCAGAGTTTCGGTGGGTTTACAGTAATTGTTTAAATACAGTAGAACAGGATAGGTGTGGTAACACTTGTAATCCCAGCACTCAGGAGGCTGAGGCAGGAGGATCTCAGCAAGTTCCAGGCCAGCTTGGGCTCCATAGTGAGTTTCAGGCCAGCCTGGACTACATAGCAAGAGCTTGCCTCTAAAAAACAAAACAAAACAATAATAATAATAAATGAAATAGGGGTGTGGATAACTCCTCCTTGGGATTGGTTGTGTCTCTTCCTGTGCCATCTCCATGCCAGGAAGAGTCCTTGCCAGAAACTGAATTTGCCAATGCCTCCATCGTGACCTCTAGGCTCAGCAGGGCGGGGAAATGCATTTCTGTTCTCCAAGACACCCATCTGTGGGGTTCTTCTTTTTCCAGTACTAGGGATCGAACTCAGGACCTTTCGCTTTCGAGACAGGCACAGCGCCACTGAGCTAAACCCCGGCCCACTCTGTGGGATTTTTGTAGCAGAGCCCAAGCAGATGAAAGGGGCCGGGCCCTGGCAGCCCACTGTGCGGGGCGTCCTGCCTGGTGCCGGGGGTGGGTGGTGGATGGAGCCGGTCAAATTCTCTCCTCTGGGAGTTTGTGCTGGGCAGAAACATGCGTTAACACTGGGGGCCGCTTCTGGAGGAGGAATCACTGTGGGGCAGCTGCCTCTGCCCCTGCACTGGACATGGCAGTTGGAGGGGCACATTGCATCCAGGCCTGAGAGCTTTGCTACTACACAACAGTCCAGCCCTTTAAAAAAATTTTTATTTTGAGTCAGGCTCTCAATATATTTCCTAAACGAGGCTCAAACTTGGTATCCTCCTGCCTCAGCCTCCCAGAGTACTATCACAACAGGCATGGGTCCCCAGACCTCGCTTGCACTGGGGATCTCATGAGACCTATCTTGCACTGGGGATCTTATGAGACCTATCTTCTTTCCTTCTTTCCTTCCTTCCTTCTCTTTCTTTTCTTTTCTTTCTTTCTCTCTCTCTCTCTCTCTCTCTCTCTCTCTCTCTCTCTCTCTCTC